GTATTAATGAGCAACGACAATAGTAATAACACTTCCGATAGTATTAAAACCACTATTAGTCTAACACTAATATCACATTCCTATTATTATATATAACACCTATAGTTATATGCTATTAGCATAAATGGCTGGATTAGTTTCTCTTTAAAAAACGGTATCCGTTGACAACTAAGCCTCAAGGGATTACTGACAATGGAATAAAAGTTTTTTTTTTTCAATTTTTAACGACTTTTCAAAAAGCCACAAAGTTTCCTACTATTTATAATTATGAATTTTACTTCTAGCAACTACTAGAGAAGTGAGTACTTAATAATTCCAAAATTTTTTATAATTAAGTAATATTTTAGTGCTATTACCTTAAATATGCACAAACTTTCTCTTCTTCTCTGACTCGGCATCATTTAAACTTTTCATTGAACGAACTTAATTCCAGTTAAAGTCTAAAATCAAGCTAATGTCCGTGGGTATGTGGACATCGTAAGCTCAATAAAGATAATAGCTTAGTTATGAAGGAAACATAGCTCAAGGATGATCTACGAAAAAAAGGATTTCACCCCTTAAAAGTCGTTTAACTAGGAAATATGAGACAAAAGAATGTTCTTCCTACTTGTTTATGTGAATCTACAAGATCTGAAGCATTTTGTAAAATAACTTCAGTTTATTACCTCTCTAAACCATTGTGAATAGCCTGAAGAACAGCACGAGAAGCATTCGATGTTTTGCTGCCAGCATCTTAGTGCATAATAACACCAGAATTCCTTAAAATGTGCTTAGTGTCGTAAGAAACCACACTGCAAACTATAGAGGATGTATTTGCTATCCGGAAAAACGCTTACACCCAAAAGATGCATCTACCTCCCTAGCGAAAGAAGAAGCTCTCCTCGAAGTTAAGTTTATGAAAAACCATTAAAATTTAAGGAAAAAAAAGACAATATTTTTTTGCTTAATGAACTTTTAAATCATTATGGTTATATAGAAGAACGCATAGAAAAACATTCGTAATCGATTCTGGAACATTCATGCTCTATGATGCAAAAGAGAGGAGTTACAGTAAATCCAAAAAAAAATTAATTTAGTCTTGTAAAAGAATAAATCTGAAGCCCGGAAATATCTTCAAAATGCCCGATTACAAAAAGTGTAGCAGTACTGCGTAAAAGATTACTTTGCCCATTCAGAGATTTTATTTAATCAATTGCCTTTAACGATCTAATTCCCGATATATTTAATTTTTACGGTCAACGTAGTATAGCCGTTGCCTCTGCATTTAACACCGTAATTTTTATGTAATGACCAAAAGTGTTAAAAATTGTTACGAAACAGCAGAATGGGGGAACCCTAATAACTAACAAAGATAAGTGATTAGCTATTTGGAACCAACCAGCTCCGCACTCATTCTTAAACGGGGGGTTTTGCTGGTGTATTAGACAATGACTTTATAAAATGTATTCGTCTCGACGTTAAGCAGATTAACAATCGAAACTGTCAGTAGAAGCTTTCCAGTTACTGAAAATTCAATAAATTGTCTCCTATTTTATTGCCATCTAATATATTCCTACATATAGGAAATTTATTTCATACAGGTCTCATTCTTGACAAGTAGGAAAATACCGTCATTCGAATATACAAACACTGAATAAAGTGCGCTTGGTTATTAACGCCATTCTCTGCTCTTTACTATTTTGGAATCAATGGAAAGTACCCCCTTCTAAAATTTAGAGAGAAACCCCCTCCTCAAAACGCGGCTATCGCTCAATAAATCTACTATTCTGCGAGTGGTAAAGGAGCAAAAACAAGTTATATTCTAACGATTACAGAAATTTGTGGAGCAGAACCATTTCATCCCTGAAAACTTATTTGGGTTTACAAAGAGATCACTTGACATTGAAACAGCTTTTGATGGAGTTTAGCAAGCGTTTCTTTATTTTACTAAAATCGTAGAGGGCTACTCAAGTTAATAGGGACTTTTAAGGCAGGCGTGACCCAAGGCTCCTTGCTTTTACCCATCCTCTTTTCAATGGAGGACATCATCTAGTACTTTTATATTTTTATCACAATGTGCTGATAGCACAGGAAAAAAAATCTTTGCCATTTCCTAGTCAATTTAGCTGTTAAAAATCTGTAAGCAACAAGGAAAGGATCAAGCTCTAGACCTTCCAGTGGCGCCTAACCAGTAATTCCGCAAAGAGCACAGACATAATCATTCCAAAGAGGTATAAAGGGCTAACTGCTTAATTAGTTGTTGTGTACGATACCCAATATCTTGGGCGCTAACATAAGCTACATTGGCAACGTCATGTTGTTTGCATGTTAAAAATTTTTTTAAAAAATTAATCTTTTCCAAATAAAATATCAAATGCAAACATAAAGCTATGCCAACTATCTATGTAAACACTTTTTTTTAATTCTTACCCTCTTTATCTATTTCCTTGTGTGTGTTGGCACGCCAGTTTTTTTTAGTAAATCATTTTAGGCTCCGAATTTGTTGGTTATTAAATTTGCTTTGAGTACAATAATGTTTCCGAAGCCCTTTTAAACAATAAGCAAATTTTTAAACTATGTAGGCCCGAGGCTAACTTGCAGTGCACATTACATATTTTGCTTAGAATTATTTTTAAAGTGTTTTCGGTTATTAACTAAAAGTAATTCTAACATTTTTACCCCTAGCGGAATATGAAGGTTATATTTCTGTCGTCAGAAAGTGTGAGCCTCCTTTAGAAAGGAGGTGTTTAAAAAAAAACTTGTACTATTTCTGTACACACATGTTAAGAGCTGATGTGTGAAATTAGATTATGAGTGATGTGACAGTTTTGAGTAAACGTCATACAAATTTCTACATGTCTAGCGGAACCTCGTCATTTTAAGATTTGAATATAGTACTGTAATAAAGTACCTTGTAAAAAGAGGTAACTGTGCGAAAGTAAAAAAAGAGGAATTATTGACCACTTATGCACAATGTGCTATGGTCATATGCAACGGTCAAAAAGTAAATTAGGCCGTTTAACGAAGGGCGAGAGCCACTAAAAAACGATGAGCACACAAGGCCATCTTTTACGGGCGTTACAGAAGAAAAATTATAAAAAAAGTGGAAAAGTTAGCCTTTGAAGACCGTCGAATTGGTTCTTCAGGTAGTAGAAGAACAAAATAGCAGGAAGTGTGTCGGACAAACTCTCATAGTCAGGTTAAACAGTGAGCAAGGTGAGCGCTCGTCGGGTACCCCAAAAGCTAACCCAGCTATATTGAGGGCGAAGAGTGGAAGGTTAGCGAACTGACCTTCATTAATGTGAAAATGATTTGGATTCAATTAGTCATCGCATTGTACCCTGTAATGAAACATGAATTTATCAGTACTATTTAGAACCCAAACAAGAGTTCTTGAAAAGGATAAAAAAGAGAAAAAATTACCGTGCAAGTTCAAGGTTCAAGAAGTGGCTATGAAGTATATAGCAATGATATATTGGTATAGCACGGTACTAGATTAGGGGGATCACCTCCTTAGGGGAAGAAAGACGAATGGTCAATGTTAAGTTAGCTTAACTAATTAATTGTGACAGGCCATTGATGAGAAAAGCAAGGACTAATTAGCAAAGGAATTCTCCTATTACAAGACAACGCGCCAGTTCACACAGCTCAAGTTGCAAAGCAAGTTATACAAGAAATGGGCTTCGAGAGAATTAACCATTTCCTTTACAGCCCAGATTTGGCTCCAAGCGACTCTTACTAGTTTAAAGATTAAAAAAGGCGCTATGTAGCAGAAAATTATACGATGTAAAAGAATTGAGGTCGGCTGTAGATGAGCAATCAGCGAACAAAATTTCGGAATATTTTTTATGGTGGGGTAGAAACAACTGCAAGGTCCAGGTGAGGGTGTATTGAAAAAGGAGGTTATATTAAAAAATAAAAAATATTATAGTTATAAAAATGAGTATTACTACCCTAAGTTTTTTATCGCCGGACAGCCCTCTTATTTTACTAATAAGGTTTGGTTAGGTTAAGAGTTAAAAGGTTAGTAGTAGCCTGAGGGTGACCTCCGACAGTACAGGTGGTGCGCACCGTGCCCTTAACCCCTACAGAAAAGGAGTGTCTAGCGGTCTCTCACGAGGAGTGGTCGTCGTATGCTGTTGTTAAAAAAAAATAGGAATGTGAAATTGGGCAGCGAAGAGGCCTGAAGTGTGCTTGCTTATAGTACTAGCAGAGAGTCGGTAGCGCCATATTGATGATTAAATGAAAAGTTGTAAAGTTTGCTTTTTAGCCTCCGATTTTGCTACTTACTTTTATATAAAAAAATTGCATATTACTCTTATTGGCACACTTTTGACTTTTCTTAGTTTTGGTTTATCAATTTATCGAATTTTTCCTTTTGATATATGGGTCTTTCTGCTAAGTTTGATACTGGTAGTAACTTATTTATATCTAGTTGTAATTTCTTATAATCCTTTATATATTTACACTTGCTATTATTGACAAATAGCATCAAAGTACATTTGCTTTTTTAATTTTTGTTGTTTAAGCGTGTACTAGTAATTGCTTTCGCAAATTCTTAACCTGATAAAAATAATGTCAACTTCTTTTTTTTAAAAAAAAAAGATATACTACCTTATTTATTTATTGATATTTTTTAATAGTTCTTTTTATATAAATTATTTAACTAACAACTTTTAAAACCAGGTCGAAAAAAGATTTAACGTCCAACAAATATGGATTCTTGCTTTAAACTTAGTTTTTATGCTTTCTAGCTTGCTTTATTCAACAATTTATATATTAACACTGATTCTGTTAAAGGTTTTAATATTGAACGCTTGTTACAATCTTTTCGGTTTCGAGATTGTTTCTTTTACTTTGCCTTTTTCAGGATACCGTCTCTTCAGCACTGGCGACCTTTTCTTCTATGACTTTAAGTTTTTCCCTTTATTTTTATTTAATGGTATCTTATGTCTTTTAGTCTTAAATCAACTGTTTTTCTAAACTGTTTATTACGATAAGATTAGATTTTCTAAGCTGGCTAAGCCTTGTCTGCTCTTCATGCTTCTATCTTTACCGTTGACTTTGTCCATTAATAGAATTGCGCTAAAAACTAAACATGGTTTTAGTGTTTTAACAATGTAGATTCTATATAAATTTTTGAATATTACTAGTGAAGGACGTTTATTCGCTGGTGAAGCGGCCTTTCCTATCCATGGGCTGGTCCATATTTACGGCTGTGGCAATCAACTTACTGCCTTGCGTCAGCTTGCAGTTTTATAGTTGTAATTACGTTATTAGTTATTTGTTCTTCTGTATTAATCGATGCTTCAGATGTGCATAAAACAGAGCAAAGGAAATTCGAGACCTTAATAGAGACTGCTGCGGCGCGAATCAGCACCGTCTTTTTAGAGGTTTCGACCCTCCTTCGCGAACATCACCTCTTATCTTATAACTTGACCTCGGCCGGTACTCTTTTTTAACATCTTTATAACATCAGTAACTCTAAACTTCTGTTTTCCGTTATTGAAAATATATGTTATCAAATTACTAATATACATTATTGTCTGCGTTATTTATTTAAAATTCTGTTTGACTCACTTTGCAGAGTCGGACGATGTTTTTCAGACGGAATGCTTTTCTACAGTGGCTGTTAAGACTAAAGAACTGAGTGAAAGTAGCTTAAAAATATATATTGTATAGATTTATCTTGCGCTGCCAAAACTTTGTCTGTTGTTAAGATATTTATTGCTAAGACTTTACATTTTCCTCTTCGATTTCTCCTAGATGCTTTTAAAGCTCTTGCTGTATTTAACGGGCTGGATCCATTAATCTTGCAGAGAAGGTCTATTAATTGAGAAAGGTTGTTTTAACACCCCCTCACGCCCGTTGGTATCTGCCAGGCTCAGTCTCTCAACCTCCTTAAGCCGAGCACAACACCTCGAGAACTTTCAAAGAAGTTTTTTCTTGATTCTGCGGTAAGAAGTCCCTTGCTCTTGTCCATCACTGCTGTTACGCCATTCTGTATATTACCAATAGCCTCTTACTTAATCTCGTCGAAGCGCTCTCCAACCCTCAAACATGGTTCTTTTTCGATGGCTGCGTCGGAGAGATCAGCGACCTTCTACTTCACTGTACTTTAGAGCTTTTGCTTTGTGGTCATCTTGTTAAAACCTTAACTTTTTACAGGCTCTCAGTCGGTGGAGCAGATTTCCTTCAGCAGGTCTCACGACGGGAACTCTTCGCTCGATGCAGAGGTCATTACATACCTTTAAGCGCAAGCAAACCTCCCTGCCCCCATTCATAGACAGTAGTTTAGATTGAGAACCTCTTGAGTAGCAAATGCAAGTTTGTTAATACCAAGACTGCCCTGAATTTGCTACTGAATGGCAATGTAGTAAAGGAAAACAATTTTTCCTCCACGTGGTTTGCGGTATTTTCCACAGCTTCTAGGGTCCTTAAATTGCCAATGCATTCGTTTGGTACTCTTACAGGTTCAGTTGACTGAGGTAGTCAAGGAGTGCAGTCGCTGTCCTTGTTTTTTTCAAGAGTTTCTTCACGGTGAAAAGCTGAGGTTGTTTTACCTGTCACTTCGCGTTTTTGGCCTTATATGGAAATCTCTACAGTTTTAGTATATTAGAGGCGTCTTTCTCAGGAGTATACTTTGGCCAATTGAAATTCAAAAACTTAACTTTTGCCCTTCTAATATGCCCTTTTTTTCTTCAGTTTAGCGAAGCAAGTTAAAATTCTGACTGCGGATTTACTATATTCCTATCCACAAAATTTTCATATAAGGAATTTTGTGAGTAGTCCTACAAGGACGAGCCTCCTTTTAAGCCAGCAAGACAGTTTTCTTGCGGTTACGGCAAATTTTTTCCGAAACACTTTTCTTTTTCTCAGCCGTCCGGAAGCGACGTTTGCTATTAAGTCCTCGCTGGCGGTGTCACTTTTGTAAGTGTACATTACAGCAGTGCAATATCTGCTCAGCTGAACCGTGCTCTATCAAGCCACCTTCCTTGTTATCTGCGAACCGCCGGTGCGATCGCTCTGAATGAGTGGCGGTGGTATTGGGTCTCCGTCACCACTCTCGTTCTGCTGACGTCTCCCATCGTTGGCTCGGGCATTAGAAGAGGTACTTGGTTCACACCACTTCTCTTCTTTTCTGTGTTTCACTATTCACTTTCAGCGGGCCACCGTTTAGCCGGCACGCTTCTGGGGGGCCTCTCAGCGGGTAGTGTATCCTGTTTGCCTTGGTTTTTCCATAACTTCCCTCTAGAACTTTTAGCTGTTGTTTTAACCATAACCAACAACGCTATCGCTTTTGGTTTTGTTCTTTTCTTGACGCTTTTTCTGTGCATCCATATCAAACTGCACACGACGTTCAGTTACTGCGGTATCATTTGGGCCCTCACGTTCGCATTGGTGAGCTACAACCACTTTATGGAAATTTTGCCTGTATGGACGGCCTTTTACCGCCGCGTCACTCTAGTAATAGTAGGTGGAACAGCTTCTTTTTTGCAGTCTTTTTTGGTAATCTTTTCCGGCCCGCAGGGATTATTGGCTCTGTACTCGTTAACATTCTCTTCTGGCCATATGTCGCCAGAATAAAAGTAAGACTGCATTTAGGAGACTTGTTAAGGTATACTTTTATGACTCCAGGTCTGTCGATTGTAGTTTCTCCCTGTTATTCATAGGCAGATCTCCATGTCATATTTGAGAGCCATGGACGGCTTGCTAGTTAAAGCTACAAGTATTGACCCGCAAACTCTAGATAAGAGCTTGAACAAGGACTTTAAAAGTTTTCGGAGATCTCTGCTATATGAAAAAATGGTTGTGTAACCAAAATCCACTGCTTTATTTAAATCTTGTCAAGTGTTTATAACTTTATAGCTATTAAGTTTTGCGAAGAACGAGTTTTCCTTGCTTCACGGCACTTTTAATGAGAAAAAATATTCTAATATTATAAACTGCGTGGAAAAATTAGTTGACGAAATAGAGCTATTCAAGATGTTTTTAAAAAAGTAAGGGGGTTTAATTATAATAAAAATATATTAATTTCTCTGCGGCAGCATGGATTTCGGTCAGGACGAGGATGTGAAAAGTCTATTGAAAGTCAACTCTGACTTACGTGCAAATGTGGTTGCCAATTTCGTCTCTGTCATGCACGTCTTGGCTTCAGGTAACACGGTGACCGCAACGTCTCTAGATAAACATCTCATTTTCCTATGGCAGCCATCACGCGGACGATGCCTCTGCCAAATTTCATTGGTCAACCGCCGCTCGAATTGCGTCACCACCCAGTCTTGTCTGCTATAAAGGGACGCATGTGTATTGTTAACCCCTTTTGGCTCACCACGCCAACTTAAGTGTATCACTGTAGCAGATTGCGGCCAGCACCGCCAATGAAAGTCTATGTTGCGTATCACTTTATACGTGTTATTACGCACATTCCTTGAAAGTGTCCCAAGCCATCGCCAACTTAGCGGCCAGCGTTCGCTCGTTGGTAGGGACGTTTCCACCCACGGAAACGACCGCAAGCAATTGTTTAGCCTGAAATAAACCTCGACGCTTGCCCTTACTTGCGTAATTTTACTTTTATATAGCAAGCGGCGTAATTACTCAATGTCTAAGGCAAACTTCTTAATTTTTCAGTAAACTCTTGCAAACACAAATTTGACGTACATAACAAAGAAGTGGACGAGCACGTAAGGATATTTTTACAACTCATTAAGACATCTCCGAATCTCAATTTCTTTCTTTTTTTGCAGTTCCTCACATTTTTGAAGTTTTTTTTTGGTATAAACTAGCTCCTTTTTAAAAGGGTTTTTATCTATTTTGTGTGCGAGTTAACACAAATAAGTTTTAATATAAAAACTTCACCTTTGATAGCGCTAATATCTCCAGGTTTAAAATGAGTTATCCTTTTGACATGCGACTTTGTCTTGACTCCTAAATTGTTTCATAACTATAGTAAACCACAAAAAAAAAATTCACCAACTTCACCTAAACCAAGCTTATCGCGTTTAAGCATAGTCTTAATAGGGTAGAGGATTCCTTGTCCACTACTTCCAAGCCCGCCTACTTCACTCCAGCCCTCCTTCGAAGAAGTACAACTCGATACCAAAAAGGTGCCCAAGTACTGCAAAATAATTACCTTTTTAAGGAGCTTGTAACCAAGAGACGAAACAGGAAAGTTTAATGTTTCTTCAGAGGGATTATTCTTATTTAAATTAAATAAATGGATGGCGGTGTAGCGATGTTTCTGAAGATAAAAATCCAGACTATAAAAAAGGAGGTTAATTCAAACTGCTTATTACAATAAATGGACTCGCCTCATGTGCTCGTTGCATATTTTGCATTTTGCTCTCAGGTTATTTAGGGCAATTTTGCGGCGAAGACTCAGTTGATTAACCAAGACATTTGAGGTGCTTCCCTTATCCTCAACCGCAAGGTTTCTGGGTCCACATACAAATTCTTCTAAAGCTTGACAAACAGTATGCTGTTTAGTTTGAAGAGCTAGTTGATAACAGTTACGCCCTTGGTTGTCTTGGTGATGTACATCCACTCCTTTCTTCAATAAATAGTTCACAATGTCTATATTACCTGCCACACTTGCAACCATTAATAAGGTCCAGTCGTAATCATCTTTTATCTTATTAAAAAAAATCATCTCTACAAGTTTAAATTAACAAAGCATAACTTTTCAAATAAAAGTTCAAATTAACCTTGGTGTACAGTCAACTTAAATCTTTTTATTAAGCTCTCTAACTCGGAAAGAGTGCCATTCTGAGCAATGTGAAAAAGCCTGTTTTTGTCTAATGCGGATACACACCAATCTGTTAATTTAAGCCTTAACTTCTTTTCATGGTTAAGTTTATAATCAGCAAAAGTTTGAAGCCAAGTATTTGAGGTTAGAAACATTTTTCTTACTTCTCTTTTGCAACTTTTTTTTATTTATATTCTCGTTTTTTTAAAAAGAAAAAGAAAATTCGCTAAAAAAATTAACTAGTGCGAGTAATTATGAATCAGCTTCACACCTACTTTTAACAGTTTTATAAACAACGACACCACAAAAGTTAAACTAGAATGAAGAGGTGCAAGCCTGTAAAGGAAAGCCAAATTTTAGCCAATAATCTCTCCTCCTTAACCGCCACGTGTAAAATCTTCTAAAAAGAAGTTAAACTATCTAAAAAAATTTTATTCATTAAGATTAATTGACCAAAATGGCTAACTAACTAATGACGTGCACTAATTTGAGTGCAGAGAGGGAGAGGCCCTAGGGGGGCGGGGTCGGGGGTCGTCCTGCACTGAGTATACAAATTATCTTAAATAGTATAAATGAAGATATAAGAATGGTATTTCTAAACTCGATGTGGTGAAACCGAAAGAAGATATCCAAGGTGTAGAAAAAAAAGCATTTATAAAAAATCTTTGGTCATTTCATGAATAATCTAAGACGAACGGTTTTATTAAAAAAAGAAGTAAGCACTCAAACTTTTAAAAAAAAACCAGGCAATGCTAATAACCAAATGGTCAACAATGTATCATCAAAAAACGGAAGGGCCCAATGGGACATTTTGCTGGAGTCATTAAAACTATCACACTCATATTTTACTCTGATGATGGTTAATAAAAACGACAAAATATTACGGGAACAACATTACAGCAACAAACCAGTGGAAGCAGATTACAAATAAGATTATCGCTTCCCTAGAGGAAGATAAACCATTTGACAGGCTAAAGTTATTTTTACAAATACTAAATAATTAAATAAAAAATAATAATAACGTGCCTACTATGGAATTAGGAAGATTATTCTAACCGGTGACCACACATCCACGAACAATTCACGTCTTAAAGGGATTTGATGGTACAAAGAGTGTTCGCTTAAAGAAAAATACACGACAAAATTGGAAATTTTACAAAACTAGCGCATAACCTATTTTGAGAATAACGATGGTCGTGATGAGCTTGTGCTTGATACGGCTGCTTACCCCTACTACATTATAAACAAAAAATTTTTTAAAAAAAATGATAGAGGACATACATTATCCGGACAATAAACAAAAATTTGACTCTTATTTTACCGAAAAATTAAATTTTTTGGAGGAAAGCTATATATAATAATAATTTAAACCCAACTTATTATTGGTAGGTATGTCGGATGAAAAATAATACATAACTAGACTCGGGAATACCTTTTAAAAAGACGTACTTAATCATACACAGATTCTGTTGGAAGAACACTACAGAAAAAAAAAAAGTGTCTATTATAAATTAGTTGCTTTATATGGCCTATAATTTTGCCGGACTTTTATAGTAAGATTTTGCCCAAGGGTTAAATAAAAATGGATATAAACAAAATCTAATCGATGACTGCAACTTTTATCCAAATGATATGAAATCAAAGATAGGAATATGTGTAGACGTTTATATAGTACTTGCTAATTCATTTTTATACATTATGAAAAGAACTTTAACTTAAAAACTGTTTATTTAACCGACAGAACTCTTGGCATTGATTGGAACAACAAGATGGGTATATACATATGCACCAACAGAAAAATTGAGCAATTAGCTAATGGTCCGATATCAATAAATAATAGCCTACTATACATTTCTCGTTAACTAGTAACATTAAACTATGGCCACCCAGCTATGACAGAAGAAGTAAATGAAGAATACCACACTCTCATTGGTTCACTTAGAAGTATAGCAGATTACTCTAGACCTAATATTGCATACGCTGCAACTTCCTTCAAAAGAATTTTACACAGTAGTGATGAATTTCATATAAATGCTGTCAAAGGAGTTTTGAGTTTTTTATATAGCAAAAAAGGACAAATCTTTAAAGATTAATAACGAATGGATAACGAATGAAGAAATACATATTGCTTACTATGCCATGCGTCATGGCTAATACTTCGCTTATTTTAAACTATGAGCTATATACTCCTCATAAATGGCAGTTCCACTCATTAAAAATCTAACAAAAATTGTTTTGCAAGACTGAATACACAGCAATGAGAAATGCTTTCATTAAAACGATAGCAAATGAAACCTAATTAAAAAAATATTACCTGATATAATAACCAAGATAAAACATTTTGCAGCGGCAATGAAGCAGTCAAAAACATTAAGTGTGATGCATCTAACAATGAAAGGAGACACGTAGACATAGAATACCATTACGTCAAAAGTGAAATTCAGCGCGACAACTATACCAAACTCAAATACCCGAAAACCTTAAGTAAGGCTGGCATTTTAAGAATACCTTTATTAAAACAAAACATGAAAGATTACTAACATATATTTTAAATTGAGCTTTACTTTCAATTAAAAATCTAATTATATGGAGAGGTTATAACAAGAAAATAAAAACAAAATTAACTTTGAAAACTAACTTAATTAACGATAAAGGATTTTATTTGGTGGCGGCACCAATATAGTTTGGTTCTCCGAATCTGTTTTTTTTATATATACCACGAAGTTTTAATAATAAATTAGACCCTTAAGCTTTATTCTATTATTTGTTTTATTTTTTTTTATAAATTCTATTACATGGGGGTCGTCCTTAGGATACCTAACATAGTTTGCAACTAATATAAAAACCCTTTTTAGAATTCTTGCAAGAGTTACTCGGTTTAAAAAATTTTTTAAAACATCGCAAACACGAACTCAAAAAATTTCTATAAATATAGTAAGTGCGTAATACCAAGAATAGCTGAAAATCACTGTAATAGGAATAATTGTCATTTACTTAAATCATAAAACCTTTCACTGTTATTTATATAGGCGACCACCACACCTTACTAAATTAAATTATAACTTTAAATGAAAATTTTTAATAATAAAAGAGTATTACTTATACTAACAATAGTGCCATCAGTTAAAAGGGTTTGTGGTTTACAACCCTCTTTGACTCCTTACCTTTTTTTTGGTCATCATAAAAGTATTCCAGATTGTTTAACCCTTCGTTAGTGTTAGTGGGGGTGGTATGAGATACCCTAGTCTTATTTCCTTTTAGATAATGACTACCATTGAACATTAACTGCTACCATATAACTTACATAGCGATGATTAATCTTGTTCCTTCGTTCGCTACTATATGAAGCAGTCCCTAATGGTCCGCACATGCTCAGTACAAAAGCTGGGTCAGATGCAATGACGCATTTATCCGATGCCTCTTTCTGTCAGTTGTGTGTTACGTATTGATAAGCACAAACTAAAACACGAAAATCAATTAAAAATTGCCAAATATAGAATTTCAACAGCAATCCAGATTATTGGATGAGAAAAATTAATTTTTGGAAAACCCAAAACATTTAAATTAAATTAAAACAAAACAAGGAAGCTCGTTGTACGAGATCTCGAAGTTCATTGGTCAGTAGAATCCGAAATTTTATATATAGAGAGGAGTAACCAACTAATAAACTGACCTTTTTTAATAATTCTCTATTCAGTTTTATCAAAGTTAGTTAGGGTAACAAGGGTGGCCCGCCCATGTCACGCGAAGATATTTGATGTGGCACGCGGTTCCCTCTATTCCCCGCCCCCCTCTCACTGCAGTGACATACACACCAGTGGACCGAAAAAAAATTTAAGAAGTTAGAACTTTAACCTGCTATTCAATTCAGAAAAAATAGTGGGCAGAGGTACATATGCATCATATATTAGAAGAATAAAAAAGAAATGAAAAATTGGCACATCAAATATTTTTAGTCAAATAAAGTGGCACTCTTGAAGTAAAAGTTTGGTCGCCGTTGGGGTTTATGGCCCCCAGTACACTAAACCCGATAGGATTTTATAAAATTGATTTTGAAGGTACTACTTGACTAATATTACTTTTCACATTTGCAATTACAAACATAGCTATACACCTTTTGAAAGATGCCTCACGCACAGGACCAGCCACGGGTTTCAGACTTTATGGGACGAGTTTGAAGCGCTATTTGATAATGAATTGGAGGCTGACAATGAATCAGTCGGCGAAGGGGAAATACCGTTGTTCGATATAAGAAACAAGAAAGCTCAAGTACAAGGAGAAGAAGAAAAATAAGATGCAATTTTTAGAACCCAAAGGTATTGAAGATTTTTATGTTGACGTGAAAAAGGTCAGATACTCTAGAGACTTACCCAAAAAATTGTGAGAACACAGAAAATATTACCCTTTTACCCGGAATGAAAGTATTTGCAATAAACGGGCAAGATTCTGAAGCCTTGATCTTTATTTCTCACTGATGAGATGCTGAACATTATCGCGCAAAACACAAATGTGAATTTACTGACAGTATCACAAGCAAACGATGCTGCAGCAGAGTTGAAAGCACTAGTAGTCTTACTTTATTTAGGTTGTATAAAAACAACAAACAGAATCTGGGTGATTTTGGTGTGCGGTTGGCAGTGGAGTAGAGTTATTAAAAACCACCTAGTCAAAACAAATATACGCTCCATGCGTTTTAATAATATTAAAATAAAGCTCAAAGAGCGAAATTAACAAATAACGGCAATTAAAGCCCTTTATGATCTATTTGATAAAAAATGTCAGAACTGTTATGGTTCTAGAGAATAGCTCAGTAAATAAAAAATTGGAAGCATTTCGGGTCGAGTTTTTCGTTTTTCGTCAGTGTATTCTTAATTAACCGTCGAAATATTTTTTAAAATTTTTTGCTCGTTTTAACGCAAAAACTTATGGTGTAGTAGAACGACTTGTTAATCCTGCCAAGGGTACCAAAGGAATATTACGTTTAACAATTGATTTACCAGCTAAGCCACTGATTGAATTATAGATAATTACTTTCTTACATCTGTAGGCACTATAAAAAAGAAGAAAATGATTTCAATCCTCGAAATTTATTGTCAATAGGAGATAAGGCAATGTAGAGTTCTTTGTTGGCTATTTAACTTAACATTAAGGGTTTTAAAAAAAATAAAAAAGTAATTCTGTTTTCTACACTACTCCACACGGACGAGTAGATCTTGAAAAATTTTGTTAAGCAACTTACAGAATATTAGAATTCTACAACTTGACAAAGGGTGGGGTGAATACGTTTGATGAACTAGCTGCGAATTATGTCGCAAGAATTTGCAGCTGGTGGGCCTTGACACTAGTTAGCCTCTACTCAACACAACTGGTTTCAATGCGTAAATAATATACGAAAACAAATACTATAGGTTTTGGCAAAGAAAGTCATTTATTTATAGTAAAGTTAGGTACTTCGTTTCAGAGGACCATCGAAAAATAAAGCGGAGACCCTTGAATTCACCGCGATTTACGCCAAGAAAGGCTAGCTGAAGAACTTCAAGCTAAGAGACAGAAAACAAGTTTTAGATGTTCGGAATGAGCTTGCAAAAGCCACAAAAACCTTTTATATCTATGAAGGTGCCATATTCCCATGTTTAGATCATGCAAATTTGTAGTGAAAAATGTGCTGACTTTTAATAATTATAGGTTTTTTTATGGCGTCTCTATACTTTTCTCGGGTAAACTTACTGTTTTTATTAAATATAAGCGATTTGGCACGCGTTGACCAAATTTTTTTTTGGATTGTATTTTCAAGCTCTTAAAGATTATCAAAAAAAAAATACCAGTTTTCTATTAGTTCTTTGATTTTCCTATAATATATATTTATGTTATAATATACTAGTGCTCGAAACTATCAGCCTAACATTAAAATCTTTTATAATTTTTAATAATAATGGTTGTTCTTCCCACTAAAATAATCTGTTATTTGAAAAAATTTCTGTGTATAAGCCCCTATTTATTTCTGATACAAGTAGAATACTTCAAAATTGAGAATTTTTTTTTAAGCACTGGCATACTACGGTCAGTCTTCCTCAGATCTTAAGCCGCTTACTCTGGATTCCTTCTTCTGCAGGGGTTGGGTCACGAGTGCCCCACCAGTATACGCTCTTTAGAGAGCTATAATGACTGTCCCGAAAAACTGAAAAAGCGGAAAATATCGGGCCTGGGCTCCCACCCTTTGGCTAGTGTGGTGGAAAACCGCTAAAAAAAACCACCGCCGGGAGCGGCAGCCTTAGACACAAGGCTCAAGGCTACCTGGAGACACTGACCAACACTACTACCAGCTAGGCCTCCACGACATTGTGCCCTCAGCCAGAAGGGAAAAGCCCAGTTGAGAAAATTTATTTATTTATTTATAAAGGCAGTTCCTGGTGTTCGATCGAGTTAAAAACTTTGAATACCTGAGCTCTCAATTAAAATGATCGTAAATATTTACAAATATCACCTAGGGTATCATATTTTTCAGCATTAACAAAAAAAAGAAATTTAGCGCTTAAGCGCATCACTTGGGCTGAAGCAACGTGCCACATCCCCTAGCTCTAAGTTCGCTTACCAGCAGGAGATTAGTGTGCCTGGTGAACCTGTCGTAAAGGGCCAGGGCATGGCGTTGGAAAATAATGTTTAAAGGGTCCAGCTAAAGGCCCCGGCGAAGAGCCTCACTTCCCAAAGACCACGGCGCCTTTGTCAGAACACGCAGAAATTGTTCTGTCGCCCTTGAAGTGCCGACTCTATTGCAGTGGAGTTTCAGATCCAAGCGTCAGACGCTTATATCATTATTGGCTGTAAGACAAATACAATTGCAGTTTGTTTCGCAGAGAAATCTTACCCTTACCGCAAAGTAAAGGATAAGGTGCCTTGGTTGCTGCCTTAACCTTCCCCATTACATAGTCCATGAGGCCGCCAGGGAATTTTGTTGTCGACGATGAGCCCCAAGTATTTTACTTGAGACCACCTTGGGTTCTTCACGCCATTACAGGTTAAGAGCGTCAAGAAAGGGATGCGTTTCTTTGAAATTAATTGACTTTACTCTTCATCGCATTTATAGTAACCTTCCAACCACGGTGCCAGTCAGCAAGGGCGGCCTCACCCACTTTTCCAGCCGCTGACAGTAGGCTGATGGGTCGGTACTTGCTAAATGCTGACTCCGGTTTAAGTGTTCTTGGTAAGCATCACAACGATCGTCGTCTTCCATCGACTCGGAAAGACACTAAGGAGCATTGAAGATTTTGCAAGGAGTTAAAAATAAAGATACCGCATCCCTACTAATGGGATTTTCTTCAGCATCTCATTAGTGACGCCATTGTGTCAAGCTCTTCTCGTTTAGGTAGCGCTTCGTAGTTAACGAGAAGGGGTGAGGCTAAGCTGAGAGAACGCATCATCATTAGCAGTATAATGAGCAGAAGGCACTGCACTTATTGGACAGCAAGGAATTGGGGAAAAGCGAAGCTTTACCTCCATTATCCTCAGCCACTATATTACTTTCACGAAGGGGCGGTTGCTGCTGCCTGATTGTGATACCAGAAGATGCAGTTTGCTCTCCCAGTTATTTTGAAATGGGCCAATAGCTTTTTTTCAATGAACCTGTGAAGTCGACTAAGCACAAATTTGCTTTCGGCGCTCTGCGACGACATGGCTACTTGAATAAGACGTCGATGTTGGCAGATAAGTACCTTCAGTTCGTCAGACAGGCAGTCCGGCGGTAGTGTGAGCCATTTTTAGTGCGGTTTCGTAAAGGGCAACAGTATCATCCAGCAGGGCGAGCGGGAAGGTAATGACGGACACAGCGGCAGCGTGGTTCCAATACACTAGTATATTTGTCCCAGTCGATTAAAATATGGGTAACGGTCTTTAGTGTGTCCTTCTCACCCCCTAAATCGAGAATAACTGGGAGGTGATCAGAGGGCAGTTAGTGGAGCGCTACAAGTGCCGTAGAGAGATGTATATCTTTAAGTATGGCAATTGAGAAAATTATTTGAAAAATAAACTATATATATGGGGGGGGAGGGAGGTCTTCCATAACCCTCGGGCACTAATGGTGCCATTATCTTCCAGCACATTAGCGAAGGGTTAAAAACCTAACCCTTTTTAAGAGTTAGATACGGGCCCTCCGTGATAAAAGAGTTACTCTACCAATCGCTGTCTCAAATTTATTTTTTGGGAACTAATCTGAGCGGTTGTAAATTTTAATCCTCTTTCTAATAGAGCTGATCTAGCATTTTTTTTATTGTTATGAGCTTTCAATAGAGAAATACAACGATACTCGTGTGGAAATGCTTCTCTTTATAAAAGATATATCTTGTATTCAGCCAACATAAAAGAGGAATCAATTACAATGTAAATATTATTTTACTTTATGTTTAGTGTTAATTTCATCGGAATAGTGAAACATGCAGTTGTGTTTAAGAGCATTTCGATTACTTAATTCTTTACTATTGTGCATGTTCCTATAAACTTTCTTTTCTGTTTAAATGTTTTGACAGTTAGTGGGAGATGTGGAGACTCTTCCGCTGGTTATAAATAATTTTAAATTCGCTTTAATTTGCTCTTTAAAGGTATTACTATATATATATGCTATGCAATACTATTTATTTGCTGTTCTCTATATAAAGTTAAGGCGCGCTAACACAAAATTAATTTAGTCGTAAAGTTAAAAAAAAGGAGGATGGGTATTAGAAAAAACACTGCCATTTTGGTAACTGTTTCGTTCATATGCTTTCTTACTTAACAATACTAATAATATCTTTCTACCACAGAGGTATTGGAGTCAGAATTGTAGATAAGCTCGTCATATGATGATATTCCACGAGAGGATGCTCGTTAATAAGTATCACGGCTTATTTAACAGAGTTAATTATAAAAAGATTTATTACACTCAGAGGGGCGTTTCACTTTTTAAAAAGCTTATAAATTTTAAGAAAAGTTTAGACTCAGTAAGAAGCGTCAGAAGCACTTTTAAAAGCGCTACTATTCTTGAAGTTCCGAAAATTTCTTATCGTAACTGTTTTTAAAGTTTGCTTCTTTATGGCAATCTGCAAAAAAAATTAAGCAGGTTAAAGTTCGAAAGTACTTCTTAAAACCTTTTTGAGATGCCTCGATCATGACAGTTTGTAGTTGGTCTATATTGGACGCTGCCGTTACTTTGCCTTAATTAAAAAGTGTTAAGTACTGGCGTAGAAAGATAAGTAAACACAGTGCAGAGAAATTAGGACTTTAAATTGAAGAAATATAAAGCTCTTAAAAAAGTAATTATTGCAACTATATATGTTATAAGAAAAATCTAAAAACTAATGACAAACCGAGAAGACTTTTGCAATGAGACAGTGGACCCGTCCTGGGTATATTACAGTCGTTAAGCTGACACAAATTCTCCGCAAGGTTGTATGGCGCCAGCGGGACAAGAGGGTCTTCAGGTTTGGCTAGACAGCCAAGAGTGAGTCGCACCGCACGGCAGAGCCGAGAAGGGCGAAATAACTCGTACTCAACGTCTTTATGAGTTTTGGATAGAGCTGTAGCCCGGAAGCGTACTCTAGAAAGCTTACAGGGACCTACACCAAAAGTTATTAAAAGCGCTTAGAGCCACGTGGGCAGGTGGGATACCAGAAAGTCCGACAAAGTCTTATCCGAGTCTATTGGCTCGTTGGGCATGACAAAGGCGCCAATTTCTAATTTACTATCCAGAGTTTCCAGTAAAACAACCTTTATGGGACATAAGGCTGAAGTTATTATTAAGTTAAGTATAGATAAAATCTAGCAAAAACAAAGTTAAATTGGGGAGCGACATTACTTTATATAAGTGTGTAGGGATGGCGATATTTTTTTCGCTAACGACTTCATACTTAACGATGTTTTTTTTACTAGCCTCATCGTACTTTGGAAGGAACAAAGGTCCTTATTATATGACACAATTGGTCTAAGTAAAAAATATCTAAGAAGTTAATATAAACCGGTGGCAACGTAAACGTTTTTGAACTTGTCGCTAAGTACAAGTTGTCTAATAAAGGATTCGAGAGTGCTCCATAGCCTTACATTCATACTGGAGTCTTGCGGAAGAACGTTAGAACCTAGAAGGATGTCCACGTTAACCATAGTTAAGGAATTAAAACGGGAAAGAGAAGGGGATTTCCACTCGACAAGACACTACCCAAGTAAAAAGTTGACTTCATAGCTTCTTGGGAAATTTTACTATCAGCAGCTGGGGCCATGTGCCCTCGTGATAACTTTCTATCAAGCAACACAAACCTTAAAGTTAATAAAAAAAAAATTCTTAAAATAATGCCTCTGGGTGGTAGCGTTCTGGTTAAGTTGTCGGTAATCCGAGTTGGTTGGCCGATAAAGAGCTGGAAGAGTTTTATCTTCATAAAAGGAGTTTGGGCGTTTTGCAGATCCTTCAATGTCGGCTTTAGTTACATGTTCCAAAACAAAGGTCGGAATTCTAAAAAGTATGGTTATTTGTTTAACAGAGACAAAAAAGGGATATATTTATGGTAAGCTTACTTTAAAATTTTAATAATTTGTAAGGACTAAAGGCTAATTTAAACGTAGAGTTTACTAGTTACTAACACTTCCATTAACAACCCAAGTATTTAAACTTTTATAATTTTTTAAAAATAATAATAAAACCCTTAAAGTATATATTATATGGAGAACTTTATATAAGGTGATAAAAACAGAATTTTGTAAAAAGAGCAACCTACCTTAAACGGAAATCAAAGAAGGAGGTATACGTTGGATAACGCTGGAGCTGACCGAAAATAGGTAAACCAAATCTTTCAATACTAGGCGAACCTGAAAGCTTATCAAAAACTCCGAAATAGTTGCCAGTAAGAAGTTCATGTTTATGTTTTTCTGTCTTGAAGTAAAAAAGGTATAGCGCAGAGCCAAAACCTCCTAAAAATCCCAGAAGTAAACTCGGAGCGACAATGAAAAATTTTTCAGTTTTATTTTTACTCATAACAGCGAGAATCGACGTAAACTTAAGTTTTTCAGAACCTTATAAACAGAAAATCTAACAGTTTACCCCCATTAAGGCTAACTTTTTTTTTTAAGTACCACCAATATTACCTGGTTGTTATGGACTATTATGACAAGCACAGAATAAAAATTTCTTTTACTAGTCGGTTGGTTAAAAATATGGATTTAGAGCGCTCAAATCAGGTAAACCAAGATTAAAGTGGCAGCATTAATTAAACAAAAAACAAAACAAAACTATGCATAACGCTGTTTAGGTAAAAACAAGTTAGCGTTTATAAGCCCCGTGACGCCTAATCATAAATAACTATTAAACAAAAATTAGAGAAAAAATAGTGATTGGTTAGCCCCAATATATGTGGTTTTTTTCATTTATCCTTCTTTTTCATATGAAACTAAGGTTAATTTATTTTCTAGCTGGGTAAAAACTAGTGGTTTAAAACTGATAACTATCACTTTGCGTAATTATTTAATTTCTTATTGTTATGCCCGAAGAAAATGACAAAAACTAATACTTTATATTTATATTAGTATATGTAACTTTGCTTGCTGTATTGGCTATGTAGATGGAATTAATCTTATATCTTATTGTTTTTTCGTTCTACTTTGGCGGTACGAGCTAGTTAGCTATCATTTCTAGAGTGCTAGTTAGTTAGTTTTGTTCTACTAAAGTAGAACTTTAGAAAAGACTTTGCTTAAAGGTCTACAATGAAAAAGGGATAACCAAGTCCTCCAAGGTGGACCAATCGAATTGATAGAAACTAGTAATGTTATCTAAAACTAGGAAGTAATCTTGGTTTTTTACTTAAATTTGAACCAGAGTTAACGTCAAGGCTCCGCTACCTCTTTATGAATATCTTTCGAGTTATGTAGTAATCTCGTGCTTCTTTCCTAGCATTAAAAACTGGTCCCAAGACCTGGACAGCGAGGGGTTGCTAACTTCATTGACGTAATAACAAGTCACTAGCAGGTTTTTTTAACTTAAATCTTATTGAATTCAAGAGAATACGATAAAAATATAAAAATAAATTCAAATTAATAAAAGTGATGTACGGTAATACAATAAACTAAAATACGGTTAACTTGACTGACTAGGGTAAAAGTGGAAACTAATAGACTGATTCTAATACTAGCCTCATCCTAGTTATAGTACACTTTAGCATAGTTATGAGCAATAGTAGTAATAGATAGTAATAGGTACTATATAAATGTGCAACTGAAGTTACTAAGATAGCTTCAACCAACCCAAATCAATAAATCAACAATAAAATCTTATTATCAAAAACTGACCGACTGTTGCTAAACAATTTAAATATGACAACCATGTGTAGTTTAATTTAACAATTGAGTCATTAAGAGTACCAGGCTCTTACTTTCTTAGTCAATTTTAGCACGTTTTTTGTTCTATTAAGCAAGGCTTTACGGTAAATCAATGTATGTAGACACCCTTATAGTTAGATAATTATGAAATTTAGATAAATACATAATGCAATAGAATTAAAACAAAAAATAATTCAATAAAAACAATTAAATTAAAACTTACAAACAAGTATTTGTGCTTTAAACTTAATTCAACTTGGTACCAATAATCTCAATCTACTTTTAACTTTGTATGAAGGTACTACCATCAAGGTCTAATTGCCTCGGCCTGAATAATAGACGTACCTAGTGAGACCTCACTATTGAAGTAACACAATAACAATAAATAATTAAATTTTATAAAACTGTAATACAAACAGTAAAAGTAACAAAGTTTAATACAACCAAATCTAAGCATATATACTACAATATATAGATAATAGAATAAAATAAAATAAATAAAGTAAAATAAAATGAAATAAATAAATTAGTATTAATAATTAAACCTCAATAATTAAATAATAAATCAAATACAAAGTTTAAAATACAATTAAATATACTTGAATTTGTCAACTGTGCAGGCTGGTAATGGAAGCACTTCGTAAGTCAATTGGTTAAGCAACGAATCTAAAGTGCTTCCTTTTACAATTAATTGAGACGAATAGAGGACTATTTTTTTTATAAAAGACGCCTCACAAAGCCATGGTAAAACTAGTCTACAGTATATCAACCAATTTCATCATTTAGCATTGTAAAAAGTACTTTTCAATACTAACTTTAACAGCGAGCCGCAAACATACCGGCATTCTTTCTAAAATTAAATTTAAATAGCTTACTGGTCAAAGCTTTTACGAGCTGAAAACTCGAATAATGTAGTTCAAGTCTGCATTAAAACATAAAAGGAAAATTTTGAACTTCTTCAGGTCATTTATAAAAATATACATGATTTAATGCTGTTAACTCTAATAATTAAGCACTTGCATGGTCGATGCTTCCTTGCATGTCCAGTGCCTTTAACTTAAACATTTTTGACTTCCACTTTGACGGGACTAGCTAAGCATCCTTAACTTGACTGCGACTGCAGTAGGTAAGACCTTGGTTGGTTATAGTTGAACCACCTTGGCCACTGCATAGGCTGGGCTCTTTGCAGGAGCGCTATTTGATAATTTTCGAATTTGGCCGGAGCTATATCTCGAAGATTTCGTCAAGTTTTATATACACTGTATGTTCGTAAGGATTCCTGTCCCATCCTCAGGGACATGTTAGTAAAAGCGCACAAAGAAGATCGTGCCTATATATAATATTTGCGTTCAGCCTTTGTATTATTCCTTGAGGCCTCCCGCGGGTTACGGTCTAAGGAAGCTGACAGGTTGCCATCCGAAAGTGTAATGTCGTTCACAAGTAAACTAACCTTATACTGGTCGTATCACCCTCTTCTGTTAAGCAGGTTTACTAAAGAACTTGTGCAATATAGTGTTATTAGTTAGTACTATATAAACTAATGCGGGCGGGATCCGCAGCAGGTATATAAAGAGTACTAGCTAATAATATAATACAACTCGTATTCATTCGACAGAGAAGATCAAGGCGCATCGAATGTATATCTTATCGTCACTGTTGTAGCTCACATTAATCCAAGATGTTTCGTTGATGTTATGTTAACTTTAAGTTGATTGCAATAATGGTTCCGGAACAGAACTTTCGTGTTATTAGAATCTCATCACATAGTTCTCGATTCTAACGCTTTCGGCCGAACCTAATTGCTGCTTAAAGTAGTGTATTATGCCCGACTTAGCTGTTTTCACCAATTTGTTTTAATAGTTTTAATGTTGGTTACGACAGATATTTCATAGCGGCAGCTAAAAAAAACCAATCCGATAGGCGATGCTGTCCTCAACGCTAAGCTTTTCTAACAATAGTGAAGAGTAGTGAGCTCTTTTTGTGTTTACCGTTGGTTTCCAGCAACATAGCCAACAGTCGTGTTAAGCAAGTAGAGTAAATTAAAACGAAGGAGTTAGCCTTAGGAATTTGACTACTGATAAATGATTGTTTGCATGTTACAGGTAAGATAAAACCTGCCAAAGGACTAAGCCCACGCCGTCTTTTTACCAAGTTTAAGAGTGTATCTTCCGATAAGTTGCGTCACACAACCTACGACTTAAAGTACAACGAAACCCTTAAAACAGAGCTAAACCCAAGAAGGTACTATAGTCATGGTTGAAAGGATGATAATTACTTAGAACATTTTGAGCAGCATCAGCTCAAATTTTTAGGTAAACCTGTTCAACGGTAGAGGGTGACATGATCCGAGGTAGGTACTTACATATTCGCCTTGCATTCCACCTTCGGATGGAACTCTATTTCCTTTACCAGACCGCAACCATCGTACAACCGTCAGGAATAAAAGCGACGGGGGAAGCGAATTTTATATATAGGAACGATCTTTTTCGGCCTCTTTTGCACGGATCAGGAATCCTTACGAAAGTGCAGAGTGTTTAATGCTGAACGAAGAATCACAAGGTTAAAAATATTATGGTCAGAGCCGAAACAAATCGTTCGACAAAATGCCACTACTGCAGGCACTGACCTACGCAGTGGCCAATACGGTTTCACAAGAGAAAATATGTAGTTTAACTTAAACATGAACTTTAAAATGGTGCCTTTTAAAGTAAAATTATCTCCGTTAATAACTGGGAAATGATGAAATTTGTTGTTAGCTTAGTGTAGGGCGAGAAGAGTTCAAACTTACTAGTGCAGCAGTTTAAAAAATGCTATTATATAGCCCTGTGCTTGTGCGCAGGTGCACCCTTTCCCAGCATAGTTACTTCTCTACTCGCTAAAGATTATTCATGAGATCTACGCTAAAAGATATTAATTGAATGCAACTAAAGGGAAGGCGGTCTTTACACTGGGGAGCCGTAGAAAAAATATTATAGTAATTAGGAAAATCTTTCCGTTATACTTTCTTAATGGTAAGCAATCTGATGAACATTTAATGAAAATAGTGAGTACAAAGTATCGCAGGCCTTGGAGCATGTGTAGCACACATTATAGTATAGAAAAGACAAAAACACTGACTAAAAGTAAGCAAGACAGACTCAAAAAGTATTTTTCCTTAAGGAAATTGCCACAAGTAACCAAGCCTACATAGGACACGCTTAAATTAAAGGGTATTTGAATATGTGAGAGCGGGGTTAAATACGCGACCATCAAAGACCGAAAAAGAGAGCCGCGTCGGTGGGAATCGAACCCACGATCTTGAGAATGCGCGTCAATGCACTTAACCGCTGAGCTTCGACGACAACTTTTGGCCCGGGTATTATGGTTTTACGTATTTAACCTGTTAAAAGGTATTAGTTAGAGTACTGAGAGTGTTAAACATGAAACTCCTAACTGGAGTTCGCAAGGAATGGTACGGCTCATAAAATCAAGTGATGCAATCCAAGACCTAGTTAAACCACAGTAGTACCTTGGCACAGTAGGTAATAATTTATTTGGTGGAGAATTATATAACGTAAGCAATTTTATGAAAGCAGGTTTTTGGTAAGTCTATCCCTAAAAAGCAGTAAAAAGCTATAAAAAGTTTGATCCTAGCGGTGGATAAAAAGGGCTAAAGTAAGAGAGGAGTCTACATCGTTTTTTAATGCCGACAAAAACAACATCTTTAGCCTTAAAAATATAAAATTATATTCGTGTCAAAATAGTGGGCGCCTAATTTAAGTCTAATACACCCACTATCCCTTACAAAATAATTTTTACTTTAACTTTCAATTTATTATATTCAACATAAAAACCATTGTTCCCTATGAAGGGGAGGGGTGGCGAACACGAGCCGGAGTGTGTTAGACACATCATCTATGAATTTCCCACCACGCAAAAAAGTGGGCTTTACATAAAGGGGGTAAAAAAGCATTCTAAAGTGTCAATTCCCAAAAGCAGGGGATTGCTTGTTGTTCAGCAAATTTACTGACAAGCCAATTATTTGAACCAAAAAATAAATGATGACTTAAACGAGTCAAGTGTACTCCTACCACTACTTTC